TGTTTAGCATTTGGTGCTTGTTTGGTTTTGTAGGGTGAAAAAGAGATTTCAGGTTACATACAACATTTGACTTTAAGTAAATATGTTGCAGGGAATTATATACAACGTAATAGCTGCGCCACTATATACTTTTATTTTCTAATCTCAGGTCGGTGCTTCACCTCGAACACGTTCGATCAGCGGCTTTGGTATGTGGAGAAGTGTACGTCGGAAGTCTCGTCACATTTCCAATGAAAGCGAGAGCGAAGGTGATCGCAGTGTAGAGTTAGCCGACATTCAAAGAAAAGATGAAGGTGGCGGGGTGAGGTTCAACTTTACTACTCTTAGACCGAATGCTAATCTTCATTATTTTGAAGAAATGACAAATCTCTTATAGGTCCTACGAACGCCAATTCGCCGTTCTACTGAAACGTTGGTTCTTCCTTTACATGAAACTTTGGACGCAAACAGGCAAAGATGTGAGTGCGATTGAAAACTTCCTCTTACACAGTCAAATTCCACTAGGTTGTCTGTAAACAATGCACCTGTTGGTTGCAAATCTACACATCACTGAAAAACCTTGTTTATTTTTGGGATTTCAGTGTACCGCTGGAAAGCTCAAATCAAACTAATATCATGCATTCTATATTGATATTTTGTATAGGGTTGTCGGATAAGTTCCACCCTTTCTTTGAGCCAAAAAAAGAATTTAGGAAACAGAAGGTTTTAGCAGTACAAAATCGCATCAAAAGTTGAGCTTTTCCGGGTTGAAGTGAATCTTTGTTTTCAAGTTTTCAAAATTCATCTATTTTGATCAAACTAATGCCTAGTATATTGAGTTTATGTTAATGATGAAGCATTGGTTTTTTTCCGCCTCTGCAGAACTTCTAGTTTTCCCTTTTGCAAAAGCGGCTAAGCAGATTTAGATGGAGAAAAATTATGGATTAGAGGTTTCGCATAATGCTGCTTTAGATGGGAAAAGAATATCGTTTTTTTGAGTGAAGGAAATTTAAGAAAGGAATACTCAACTTGGTATAAATGCTTACAGACCTTAGGTCAGATTTTTGTCCTTTAACACAATCAATGGACCGAAGCAATGTGAGGGAATGATTTCGAATTTATAAGAATGTATCCAAAACCTCCTTAACAAATTATGATGGCGTTTTATCTTTTAGCAGGATGAAAGCTAACACCGTAATTTTAGTTGTCTCGTTCTCCACTCCCAAAAAGCCGAATGGAAAGAATGATGAGGATGTGTTCCAAATCACAGAGCAACATCAACTTGTTTGAAATATAAGCTTAAAACTTGTTATCGTTACAGCTGTTATAAGCGCTTTACGGGTATTTGCATTCCCAGTGTGTACAAAATGTCTACTTTTGTTTTTTAGTAATTTAGTGATTAACCTTTGTGAAAGAGCACCTTATGTACAAATGTATGACTATGATCAACCCGTTATTCTTCGCAGTTATAATCAATGCCATTTGCATTTTGTCAAAACTTCAATGGGTGATGCATTTTTATTTATATGGTTGTCCCGCATTTCTTCCGAAAAAAATCGTAATAAAGTCCTTTTACTATATAATCCTTGTAATAACAGCGTTACCTTTACTATGTGATTATAC